TTGACTGTTGTTTCCCCTGCAAATAAAATTTATGGTAGAAGTACACCTTCTGTTCAACATTGATAAACACAAAAAAGGTGATTGTTGTTCTTTTTTTTGGGTTATCCTGTGTTAGCCACTGGCATAGTGAGGGGAAATGAAAGGAGAAAGGTGTGATGTTTATAAAAATCTGGAATCGGCTGTCTTCAAATTACATCCAAATAGAGGAAACTAGGATATAAAGAAAGTTGGAGAGGGTATAGTAGGATGTAAATGTCACTAAAATGATTTAAAATATGCTTGCTGTGGGACAGTATCTAAATTAGTTAGGTAATTTTTTTTTTTTTTTTTGCTATTTTTCTTTATATAAGTTAAAATATTGAGGCCATGGTAATATTACCGTATCTACTAAATTTTTTTCTTATTCTTGCAAATCACAGGGAATGGTATAGTAATTGTGGTTGGGAAAACTCGACAGTCTGTACTATTATTGGTAAAAATTACTTGGATAAAATTTATTTAAGAAAAACTGCATTTTTCACCAGTTAGTGTAATAAGTAGACTAGATTTTTTGTTGGATTTAAATCTTGTCCCCCATAAAAGAAAAAAGGCAAAAACAACAGTGCCTACCAGTGTTTTAACACATTGTCTCTAACATAATTTTGAAGATACACTTCTTGCTGAAATACATTGAAAATGGTTTTCTTTGTATTTGTCCTCACAGATTATATATGTCTCTATGATAGGCTATTTTAAGCAAGTGATAGAAAAGGCTTAAAATAAAAAAGCTTTTTTTAAACTAACTTGACACTGATAAAAAATAAATGAATACCAAGATAATTAAAAATAAATTCTTCTCACCACAAAACACCTAGTTTACTCAACTTTTCCTTTCCTTCAATTGTATAGGCACATTTTTACATAGGTGTAGTCAATGTCCATTTAATGTTCTGTATTTTCTTAGCACTTTTGCATATACTTATCTGTGTATTTGATTAGTCATTATTTTAATGGAAATGTTCAGTTGTATTTGAACTCAACCTCTAGTTGAGCATTTGGATTACTTCCAGTTTTTCACTAATATTTTTGCATAGTTAGGTGATATTTTTCTTTTTTCCTTTTTTTGAGTAATTTCTTTAGGCTTTATTCCCTAAAGTGGAATTGTCAGGTCAAAGGATCTCATCAGTTTTATAGCTTTTGTCATATACTGTAAAATTTCGCTTCAGAAGATTGTGCTAATGTATAATGTCACCATCTGTTACCTACAGTAAGTTTCTAAAAATATTTAAAATTTTTATTTTGGTGGATTTGTTAGGTGAGAATAGCTGTGCTTGATTTAATAGCTTTTGCACCATTATTAGTGATGTTAATCTTTAACCAGTTATTTTTTTTAATTATTGTTAATCCAGCAATATCCTTTGTTTATTGATTCCTATTTTTGGCAGGATTGTGTATGTGATATTTACCTCTATTGACTTTAACTTCTGTGTTTCTCTCAAAGTCTGTCTTTGTGGTGGTCATTTTTTGCTGACAACCCCATTATTTATTTTATTTTATCTTTTCCTTTTATTTATTACTTCTTTCCTTTCTGTTTTTATATTTCCTTATGCAAAAAATTAAATTTTTATGCACACAGAATTTTTTTGTATTGCTTAAACATGACAGTTTGAAATAAGTAGTATACCTTTTGTAGTTAATAATTTTTATATTGTACACTTAGGTCTTAATTTTTCCACACTAGCATCCAGTTTTTATAGGGATATTCCTTTTTGATAACATGGTCTTTTTAAGTCCGTTCTCTACCTATGGATTTCTCCACCCCTGGATTTCTTTCAAAGGAAAGGTAGAGTAGGGTTGTGTGAGAATTTGAATAGAAGTAAAAAGAGGAGGGTAATTTCTGAGATCTTAATGTTCAGTGTTAGATAGATTGCTTTATTAATCAGTTGAATTGTTAATTGAAGTTATTTTATATCTGACCTTGGATTTTGGGTGTCTTCATTGTAGGAGAGATGGATTTTTAATTTGGGTAGGACTTTTTAAAGTGATGTTACAACAGTTTTTTTTTTTTTTTTTTTTTTACAGAGTAGTCTTTGATTTAGCTGTGTGTCTTGGATTGAAATTTAGGGCAAAGTATTAATAAATAGTATAATCTTGAGTCACTTGGTGTGTTAAATTATATAGTAGTACTTCAAAATTAAGATGTTCTGGAGTAAAAGAATACAAATGTATAACGAAGAGGTAAAGGACCATAAACAAGGAAGGAGTTAAGTAGCAGTGTTTTCTGCGCCTTAGGGGGAAAAATAATCCTGCTTTTCTGTCCATGTTGTTGTTGTTGTTGTTATTTGCCGCCGAGTCACTCATAGCGACCCCTCCTTGGGTGTCCAAGGCAGTATCACTACGGAAGTAGGATTGCCCAACCTTCCTTCCGAGGAGTGGCTGGTGGGTTTGAA